GGGCAGCTATCTAGGCTCCTGGGGAGCAATTGGGGATTGGTTGTCTTGCTCAGAGACACCACGGCATGTGGGAATGGCTGGGGATTGAACCTGGGACTTTCAGGTCCCGGGTGTAGTGATGAAACGGCAAGAACCATGTTTACCTTTGAGTTACAGATGTGGTACTAGTTTTGATGGATATCATGTACTGTTATTATAAATCAATATATTTCTCATTCACACAAATGTTGTTTATATGTAATATAACTATTTGTGTGAATGAGAAGTATTAATAGAAAAACATTTTGAAGGACCTGAACAAGGTTTAAAGGGGATAAAACTAAAAGTTATTATTGCATATTTATAATGTCTTAGCTTTTAACAATATAAAAACATTTACAGAAAAGACACAGAAATCACATTGGACTCTGGCAGCTGTTTGAGTCTAAAACGACCCACAAATCAATTACGGTACTAGAAAATGCCAAAGATGAACAATATCTGTCTTAAAGTCTTAGTACATCATTTAAACAGGGCAAACCAAAGTTACACTGCTCCCTATTAGCTGTGATGTCCTTTGTGCTTATGGGATGAGGATATAATAAAAACAAACATTGAGTATGTATATACTGCTTAATTATATGTAATTTATTCAGTTTCCATGTTCTTAAAAAAACGGTGCTTGAATTTGACTTATAAAAGATGTAATAACCCTGAGAGCAGGAAAGGGGACTCTTTAAAGCTCCAAATAATCCCTTTTGCCTCCAGACTTATGCACAGACTCTGACATAAGCAGCATTTCCTCATAAACACACAGCATCTTATTTTGCTCTCTACGGCCTGGAGGAATGGTAAATCGAGTGTTGTCCTATATAGTTATGTGTTGATTTGGGACTCAGGATGGTGGGAAACCTGTTGCCTCAGGCTTTGTGGTTCACTGTTGAATCATCTTACAGTGCTGGCATTTCTCTTTTCTTTAAAAAGGTTAGGGCTCTCTATCTCTTTAATACATTGTCTTCCTAATTGCTATTTAGAAAAATGTCTCGTTTGTCTCTACGTCCCTGTGATGGACTTGCGGCCTGTCCAGGGTGTACCCCGCCTCTCGCACATTGACAGCTGGATATGGGCACCAGTGACTTCCACGACCTGAAAAGGAAGAAGCGGGTAAAGGTAATGGATGGTTGGATGGATTTTAGTTTAAAACATTTTTTATGTGTCTAGTCATAAATTAAATGTATTTTAAAAATCCAGTCAGTAATGGGTTTGGAAAAATGTTATGTTTGTTATTTTGCATAATGACCACTATACTCATTACAGCAATTATGATTAGAGCAACCAAATTGAAATTCTTTTACAGCCCTACTGTGAGTTTTTATATGAATGCATCTCCAAATTTACTTGTTATAATTGCCTTGCACTGCTGAAATAGACTTCTGTTAATTTACTGAATGGTCTAATCAATGCAGTTGTTTCTTTGTCCTATTTTTTTGTCTTCAAACAGTTTGTTACCGGGAGGATTATTTGTTGCATGACGTTCAGCCCACCTCTCAGCAGACAGCAGGTCATTTAGTCTACCAGCTTCTTAACAAATAACTTTCCATCAACGTGGCTAATGATGGAGTTAGGTCACCTTTCCTTGCAGTTTGCAAATCTAACCGTTTCACAACAAAAGACCATTTTGCAAATGAGGAAAATTTTGTTTTCCACTAAGGGAGTATGTTAGACATGAGACCATTAGATGATTGCAACATAACCAGTCCATTAGATATTAAGGCCTTGTACATTTTGAACTGGAGTCAAACTCTTTCCCTGACATATGGCAGCACCTGCCACAACCACATGCTGCAGCTGCATTTTTATCAACCGCATGTAGCACATTTTGACAAATCTTTAATTCTCCTTAATCATTGGTGGCAAGTGTCACAATTAGAGATGCATGTCAGTGTCTGTGTTACCCATAGACCCTTGTTCCTTGTGACATTCCATCTGTCTCGCTATATTGGAGTGAGATATCTGCCTCCTGCCTTGTCAGAGTGTGGGGTTCTAATGAGCCGAGAGTCCTGACAGGCTTTGCATGGATGTGGCTTGCCTGCCACTCTCTGCACAGCGAGGCAGCGAAGCCCAGTTCGACAAAAGAGTGCACCTGCTTTTCCTTAAACAGTTTTTGCCTTGTCTGCACAGGCAAAAAAAAAAAAAAAAAAAATTATATTTTCTTTCAAATAACTAATTCTAAGCTTTCTGTGTAAACTTCTACTGATTTTCTCTTGTCAGATTTGTGATAAAGAGTTAAAAGAAGAGGCTTTTTACATTGACAGTGTGAAGGACCGGAGCAACAATTTGTTTGACAACATATCAGCTCCCTTAAATTTGACGTGAAGCAAGTTTATTAAACATGTTTATGTGTGAAACTTGTTTTAAAGATTCATTCATCATTGTTATTTGGAGGTGTGGTTGTTTTTACAACAGCTTCTTATGCAGTGCATTCAGAAATCTGTGCCTTTTAGAATATGGTAATCATAAGATGGCAACAGCAAAAAATATTTTTGTTGTTGTTGTTGGGTTCTCCATTATTATTCAAAACAGAAAATCTCCTATAAGCTGTTTTTGATCTTCAAGCTCTTAATTCCCAAGTTGGCTGTCCATTATATTGTGTTTTCTGTAACATGCCTGAAATGCGCCATTAGCTTTTTCTTTAAATAAAGCTCAGTGTTTACGTTGTTCAGTTTTCCAAAGTAACATCCATTTTGACTTCACGTGTGTGTGAAAGAAACCATTTCCAAAAGTTGTTTTGGAATAGAAAACTGAGAAGAGCATGAAAATTAGAACATGAAAATTGCTCTTTCAATTTTGAAAACTCATACAGCCGTTTTAGTACAAGGTATATTTCACTAAAATTTGAAGAGGCACATTTTTGTACAACATTATTGGATATTTTATCATTTAAAGTTAACATCCATGTAAAACTAGCAAGTAAATTTAAAATGCTGCAGAAAATAGTTTGTTTTGTAAGAGAATTGGAGACTGGTACAAAACCCCCAAACTGAGTTGTGTGGTGTCCTCAGGTCAGTGCAGCGAGGAATGTTCAGACCTCTATACTGAAGAAACTAAACAAGCTCTCCACAGATGCATGGCTCAACACCGTAGAGCAGCTCCAGTACAAGACAGCTGTTCACCTAAATCTCGGGGACAATGGACATTCTTTTGAGGACCAAAAGGTTCACATTTTAGACAGAGAAGACAGATGGTTTGAGAAGGGGGGGTGAAGGAAGCCATTGACGTCAAACAAAATAAAATATTGTGAGGGGTGAGTAGTTTTAGGCTAATCTGCCTGCATAGTGAGGCTTCTCATGCAGTTGTATAAAGCTTGGAACGCCACACACCAGATGCATTTTGATGATTGTGGATTTCAGAAGGAGCGGTGGAAGTGGTCTCCAGCTACAAGTACTTGGGTGTGCACCAGAATAACAACCTCAGCTGGGGCAACAACACCACCAGCCTGATCAAGAAAGCACATCAGAGACTTTTCTTCCTCAGGCGGCTGAGACGAGCTGGTCTGGGAAGCTCTGTCCTCACCTCCTTCGACAGGTGTGCAGTGGAGAGCATCCTGTGCCCCAGAATCAACGTGTGGCATGGAGGCTGCACAGCTGCAGAAAGAAAAGCTCTGCAGAGAGTGGTGAAGGCTGCACAGAAGTCTGTTGGAGTCAGTCTCCCCACCATCACAGACATCTACACCTCCAGATGTAGGAAGAGAGACACCTGCATCATGAAGGACCCCACTCACCCAGTGCACACACTTTTTCCCTGCTTCCCTCAGACAGGAGGTTGCAGAGCATTAAGTGTAGAACCACTAGTCTGAGGAACAGCTTCTACCCTGAAGCTGTAAGACTCATAAACCCCTAACCAGAAACATCATCATATCATACCATACCACTTTATATATAAAGCACTTAAAACTGCTACAAGGCCAACCAAAGTGCTGTACAGACAAAACAACAGGTAACACACAAAGCAAAATACAAAATGAGGTAAATCAGAATATAGACAAAAAACGATGCAGATAATGACGACAAACCAGTGTGGAGCATACAGGATCAAAACACAGATCATCTTGTGTTGAAAGCTATTGAATAGTAGTGAGTTTTTAAACGGGACTTGAAAACCGAGAGGGAGTAATGTAATGTAATGTCACTGTAATGACACTTCATTGGACATTTGTCACTTTGTGTGCTGCTGATTATCCATGCTGCTGATCTCTTGTCTTTAAGCTGCTGTATTCATACCCATCTGCTCACTATAGACTCATGTTCAGGCAGCTGTTGAATACACCGTATTATATTACATTATAATTGTTTAGCCTATATCTTAGATCCTTGTTGTTTTTTTTTTTATATAGTTTAGATTGCTATTTTTGGGTGTAACTGGGACCTTGAGGACAAAATTTTCTTCCACCTTGTACCACATGTGATGCGAATGACAATAAATAACCTTGAACCTTGATATTTTGAATTAATACATCTTCAACTTCAGATTAGAAGACCAGTTGTTGTTTTTTAAATTTTTTTTTTAAACCTTTTATTTACCTTGTTCTGGATGACTGAGAATCTTCACCAGCTTTTGAAGGAATGTCCCCACATTCCAACCATCAGTCCAGTGACTAAGAGTATTTGTTCACGTTTGTTGTTGTCCAGCTTCTGGGAGCTGAGGGCTGCCTTCTGCCTCTCCTGGATGTGTCACCAGTAATTGCAGCTTTTTTGTCATCTCCTGTGTGGATGACACTGAAGTGGTGCTCTGGCCCTATGACAGAGCTACTAATGCCTTTTTTTTCCAGAAGGGGAAGCTTGTTGTTTCGTTTGAGTCGGTTAGATGTTTCTGACCCTGACATTCTTGTCTGTCATCCCACTTATGGTGCACATCATAAACTCAGTCATTACATCCCATCATCATCTTTTTTTCACTAAACTATCCATCTTTTTTTCTTCCTTTAAGCCAATCCTTCTTTTCTACCTTCTGATTTCTAACAGGCTGTGTTTGATGTCGATCAGACCAAAGGTCTGACTCTGATTGAAGTGTTTGAGGGACTTACTCCTGAGGATATCAAGGCATGCACTGGCACAGATTTTGAGGTAAGGAGTGTAGCAGTTTTACTAATCGAATTAGAAGATATTTTCTAATGCAAACTTGAATAAACACACCTTTTGACTTCTCCTTGTGGCATTGTCCAGGTGTCTCCCAGCTTGAGGCCCATGCAGCAAATTTAAAGGTTCCAGTGGCTGCTTTTGAAGGTGTGCCTTGGCTTGTGACACTTCTTATTTGTGCTAAACAAAGTTACCGGTAAGCATATTTCAGATCAGATGAGTTCATTTCTTTGGTAATCAGCAGGCAAATGTCAAAAGGATTTACTCGGCAGAGTCAGCAGCTGAATAACTTGAAGCCCACATGCATTGTTCTTATTGTGTTACCTGAAAATGACACAGTTATGTAATTCATTTTCGCTCTCCTGTTGGCAGCTGTTACCAATTTGTCCATTTGTAGATTACAAACTAGACTTAACTCTGTACAAGCTCTTCAAAATGGAAAATGCAAGTTTTTGAACATAATAAATGCAATAAAATGGAATCAATTACTGTAAAATGTAGAAGGATGCATTTAAAGTGTAATTCATTTAATGAACAGTGATTGTGTTCAAGTGATTGTATCTCGATGAAAGTAGTTTGTATGCATCATTTTCAACTTGTTTTGCATCAATGAACAAAGGCATTTTGACATTATGCATATATTGAATTATACATTTCTTGTCCCCTTTTGGGAAATAAGGACGATTTAGTAATATGGGTTTGACTGAAACATTTGGAAGAATCACATCTGCAATAAGTTCAACATTTTTTTCAGTAACTCGTATTATTCAAACAAGCAGTGGGCCTTAAAAATTGTTACATTTGTTTTTGTTCATTTGTACATAAACTTCAATAAACCTGGTGTGCAGATCAAAACGTTATGAACTTATTGAGTCTTTTGGCTAAATCCTGTTTGTTGAGTAAGAAAACCTTGAGTTGTAGGTTCAAACCGTTTCACCACTTCAGTCTACGTTGACCGACATCAAACAACTGCTCAGATGACAAATACAGGTTAGAGTGTTCTATATACAGTTGGTTTGGCTTACATTGACAGTCTTGATTCAATTTCTCCACTTGACTAGAGAGGTATTACCTGGGGGTCGTTACATAACTGAAGAATTGAGCCAGTGGGCTTTTAGGGTTCAAGAAGATCAACTGGGTTGGATCATCAAGCAGCAAAAAGGAAGAAAGTGGCAGGGGGCCTTTGCCACTGGCTGTTGATGTTAATCCAGGACATTTCTTTATGAGTCAAACTCAAGTGGTACCCTATGAGCCTATGCTTTGCAACCTATTTCTCACAGATGGAGAAGAAATTTAAGAACCATGGCAAAATATACCTGGGAAAAATGCTTTTGAAATTATTTGAATTACCTTTAAACGTTTAAAATAAATGATTTAAAATTGTTTTTGCAAGTTTATGTAAATTAAATATGCAAAATAGCTGGTTCGTGTCAAACAAATATTTAGATAAAGTTACACTATGAAGGTTTGGTGTGGGGTGCAGACATACTGCTCAAATAATACCATGGTGAATGTTTATACTCCAGTTTTCCTTCTAGGAATGAAAGGTAACCAAGTTACATTTATGTGTGCGTTTGACAGGCCTGCCTATTTGTTTGTGAACATGGCAGTCAGAGGGCTTGGCAGTTTCTGCAGAGTGGTGGTGACAGGAACAAACACCTGCCATCAAAATTGTCCAAACACTACTGAATGGACAAAAGACAAAAACAAAAAGGTCACAGGTCGCCTTGGTTTTTGCTTTAGGGAGTTCAAACACTGCATCTAAAAAAGATGATGCTTTTTTTCTTTCTTTTTTTTTTTTAACATCTCGGTCTTCAAACTATTTTGGACCCTATTTTCCAGAATGACTCATGTTACAGTAGCTAATATTAAAGATTCGGCAAGTTCATCTTTGTTCATATCATTTTGTTGCAACTGAACAGAAATGGTCTTATGAGTGGTTGAATTTAGATTCTTATTTTTCTACAAAAGCAAATCTACAAGCATGAATTCAGTGATCTCCAGTCTGTCAGACTAACATAATTTAGAGAAAGTAATCTGATGTGAATAAATTTGTTGATACTCCCACAATGGGAGGTTGAATACAGTCCTATGAACTTCATGCTTTTTAAATATTAATGAAAACTGATCAGAGGAACATGAAGCTGCTTGGAGATGATCTTGTAGCCGTTACCTTTAACATGTATTTCTATAATCGTGTCTCTGAGCTCGTCGGACAGCATTGCCTTTGCTTTATCCGCTTCATGCTCAGTGTGGTGAACATAATATTAAACTATCATAATTGTTCCATGTGCAGGTTGACTGGCTGATGAAAAGCTTGAAGGCGCCTGAGATACAAATTGAGGCCAAACACTTAGAATGAAACGTGTATATTTTGCTAGGATTATTAGTTTATTTATACCAACAGATCTGTCCAGTGACAGAGTCATGGTTTGGCATGAAGTTGCAGCAGGAGAACATACTTTTGTTGTTGTTGCAGGAAAAGCTTTACTTTTAGATTGGATTTGTTGAATTCAGATTATTTGTGATCATGAATTACACATTACACAAAAATAAAACGCTCAGCTGAATGCTATTTGTCTGCAACTTCCCCCCTCTCCATTGCCATCCCAATGGACAGATCTGTTGGTATAAATAAACTAATAATCCTAGCAAA